GTGTAAATGAAAGCCAAGCATAGTTTAAAGAAAACAAGCATAGCCGGTTACTGTGAAAGTAGCACAAAAACATCCAAACATGGTCTTGAAAAAAAAATGTTTTCAGATTAGGTTCCTTTTTTCTGCATGTTGTGATAAAAAACATCTAAGCGACATAAACATATATTTTAGGTGTATTTAACATTGATACTAAAAAACCATTAGAAAACTAATTTTGTAGAAAAATGATTTGAAAAACAAAAAATTGTTAGAAAAAGTTCAAAAAAAAAACAAATTTTTTAAACATTTTTTGCAGAAAAATTTTGAGTTTTGAACTTTCTGTTTGACAAATTAGCGCAAAAAACTACAAAAAACTAAATTTATTCAAACAAAACCAAGCCCGGTGCAAATATTCACGGTTGAAACTAAGCATAGAAAAGCGTTTGTAAGCATGCTTATTATCACCTGATTAGATTGAAATTAGACCAAAAATCAAAATTTTCAAACTGGTTTGTCTCGACACTAAGAAAATTGACTGTCATTCAATTTGTCTCGAATGACTGTCATTCAAAATTGATTTGTCTCGAATCACGACTGCAAAAGCTGTCTAGTGAATAATTGTGATAAACCAAAAATCTAACTGACCGATATTCAATTGACCATTTTCAAAGAAAATATTTTGGCAATAGTCCTTCTCTTGAGTCAGAGAATTTTTCAGCTCCTTTCGTTTTTTGAAAAACGCGTTTTAGAGCAAAATCCACAATTTTATCCATTTATATGTTATCAAATATAGCAAAACTATTAAATTGCGTAGTCCCAATGACCCATCCCAAGCTGTCAAGTCGTCAAAACTTCGTCTCAGACCCAAAAAAAAATAGAGAAAAAAATGCAGCAAAGTAGTTTTACCTTTGAAACGAAGTTTTCTTAATGGTTCCTTTAGTTAATCAAAAAACGCACTTTAGAGCGAAATCCAAAATTTTATCTTTTTATATATAATCAAAAATAGCAGACAAAGTCAAAATTCTGCAAACATCTGTTTCGATGTCAGGTTTTTATATTGATTTTAAAAAATTCAATTTCTGATCGTTTTTTTTGGATTCAAAGTTATTACCCAGAGCTTTCAGTTAAGAAACTTTCAGGAAATTTTTTTTTAATGATATACAGCCAGTCACTGTGTGTATTGTCAAGAGAAATTTTGGCTGAATGTTTTTTTCAAAAACAATAAGAATGGTTTTTTGCTGACCAAATACTTCATACAGGTGCGAATCACATCAGTCGTTTTATAATCAAACTACTTGTTATAAGATGAAAAATTTTGCTTTTTTCAAAAAGTTTTTCAACAACCTGTCAAAAAAATAATGACAAATTTTTATCATATTCAATTGCGCCGACTCAGAGTTTTTAATAAGTTCGTAATCGGATAGATTAGCTTCAACGTTACAGTTTAATGGAAAGAGTAGTTTTTGTGCAACCTAATTTTCCCATATAGCCAATTTTCGAATTGCATTAAAAATTTTTTCTTTATGAGCTATAAACATAAGTATGTTTCAGTTTGATTGAAACTTTTTCTCAAAGTTTCAATCAAACTTTTTCTCAAAGTTTCAAACTTTTTCACAAGTTTGTCTGGGTAAAAAATAATTACTGCGAGCAAAATTGCTTTAAGTAGGACTACTGGTATCATGTGAGTCTCTGACTCATCGGATTGTCCTTTAAGATAGTTTGATGTAGTTTCTGGCAAAATTGCAGAAAAATTGTGAGGTAGTTTCACTTGAAGAGAGTTGTGTACAACAATTGATCCAAAGCTTTCAGGAGATGTTTTTCAGTGTTTGAAATTTAATAATTTATTCCCGTAGCAAACAAAGGGATAATTTTATTCAACTGCTACTTCTAAGATCAACATTTTAAGCGCAATTTCTCGCATAGGTGTTACAAAACACTTGACTGATAATTTTCGGAAGCAATTAGTTCTTTATGCAAGATTTTATGCAAAAGTAAATAAAAATCATACATTATAATTTACTTTCAAATTTTTGATATGAGATGACATTCAAAAAGAAAATCAGTATATAATCAAGAAATCTGTTTATTTTTGATATATAAAATTGAAAACTATCTACATACATATATTAATAACCTGAATATAATCTATAAAAACTCTCTATATAATCTGTAAGGAATGTGTATAGAAACTGTCAATCATTTGTAGAGAGTAGGTACCATAAGAAGTACCAAAAAACAATTTTGGGTAGCTAATGAATTGTTTACCTCATATGGGATATGGGAGAACCGAAAGGATCAAAGAGCGAAAGTTGTTTTCTTTTACCAATAAAATTCCCCTTATATGCAAACTCAGTAAATGAAAAACCTTGACAAATGTGTTGTTTTTTGGTAATTTAAAAAAAAAACAGAAATTATTCAATTTTAGGATATAAATTTGGTTCCAAAACGTTAAACAATTCAACCAATTGAATTCAGCCACAGTTACGAGCAATTTTTCAGCTTTGACAAGAAATAAGTGCATGCTTCTGAGCTTGGTTTTTTTTACGAATTCCTAAAACAGTATATTAAGCAGTAATTTCCCGAATTTAGCATGGTTACAATCAGGAATTGATGAATTCATCACAATTTCACAATCCAAGAGACAAAAATGCTGCCACTTAACCACCAGTTCAAAACATTAAGATCCGAATTTTTGGTAAGAACTAATAAACAGAAATCAAACTGTTAATGTTTTAAGTTTAAACAAAAATTTTCACTCAAGACATTTTCGGTCCTTCGTAGATTGGACGGTAGGCAATGAAAAGCCTTTGCGCTACCTGCGCGACTACTAATTACCGTCATGTGACCTATGTCAACTAAGAAGTCCCGATAGAAATTGAATATTGTATCAGACAATTTTCACCTCGATCATTGAGGAAAACAACAATTTAGGATTATGCTTTGTTTGTATATTTGCCATTTACTGTTTTAAAACCAGAAGTATGCTTGCTTAAAGGAGACCTTTTAAAGATCTGAAGCGCAATAATAACTTGGTTGCTAGTGAGTATATTTAATGTATACAATGAATTCAAAAAATTGACCATTCAAGATTCTGTTGCTTTTAAAACCAGTTGTTTTATTTCTTCAATGATCAGAGTTGGAAATTTTGCCGAGCCAAAATCAGTAGTTAGTTTTTAAAAAAAGGAACAAAGAATATGATAAACAAGCTGCTACAGAACAAGGGGTGCATGACCTTGTGATAAAACAAAAACTAAATTCAAGAAAAGATGTGAAACACAAACAGAAATTTTGATGAAAACAGCTGTTTCCTGTCACTGTTTTAAATTTTTTTGTACATATATTTTAAAAAGAACAACTAATTTGCGCAAATAAATTTTTAATCTTGTATAAAGGTTTTTTTCGCTAAAAAATAGACATAAATTTAATTCAGGGGTGGATCCAGGATTTTCTCAAGGGGGCGGATTTTAAAAAATTCGAAAATTTTGTCGACCTTTTTTTAAGGTCGACCAATTTGATTTTTTGAGCTCTACCAAATCAATATAAATATTCTAATTTGACCACATTTTCTGGAGTTTTCTGAAAAACTTTGACCAAAAATTTGCGGTTTTCTGGCGCGCGTCAACCCCACCCAAAAGTTAGTATATGGTGGCGACGAAGACACCTTTGAAAAATTTTGAGGTCAGTCATCCAAAACTGAGGCTAAAACCACAGGTTCGTATATTTAAAGCAGTCCCCTGTCTCACTGGCTTAGACCAGATTGTACTGACGGTGTTCTACAGTCAGTTTGATTGTTCAAAAAGCTCATTGTTAGAATCCCAATGACTGTGTTTTTCTGCAATTTCCAAAGGGTGACCCACAGGGCATGTCAAACCCTGTGCTAAATGATTTTATTTAAAGAGCGCATACCCCTAAAGATGGTTCGCATTTGAAAGGTGGAAAGTCAGGCAACTTGCTACACATCCAAAATCAAATTCCTGGTAAATCAGTCAACTTCAAAAAAGGTCTGTAGGTTATATTTCAGGTACATTTGATTAACTCAAAGCTCTAGGCTGAGAACACTCGGGATCATTTTTTTGCAAGTCGAAAACAAATACCTCAAGTTAACATCAAAATAAGCCGAGTGATTTACCATATTAAAAATTCATCAGTTACAATGAGGTTTTGTCGAAATTTTGAGATTTCCTAACACTTTTTCTTTTTATAAGAAAAATCACTATGAAGTTTCTGCTTCGGTTTTAGTTTACGAAGAAATGTCACTCATCATATTTTTAGGTTTCTGAATTTTTGTTTCACCTCTACGACTTCGACTATGCTCTAGCTATGTTTCGACTGTGCTCGACTGAATTTTGATATGATATGACCGTGTTTGACGCAAACCACTGCCTCGTCTATTCTTTCTAGCCGTGCGCATACATTATGCTCGACTTAGAATGTCAAAACATAGATTATAGGCAACTCGACCCGGGTAGTTGGTTTTCAGGTGTCCAAGTCTGAAAACAGGCTAAATTGTTTTTACTTTGTTGAAGCAGCAAGTCAGCAACCAATGGGAAAAACTATGACAAAATAATTTTACCTGAAATGTTTAATTGAGAATCTTCACTTCATTTTGGTTCGTTTACCTAAAGGTTTTTTGTTGGAATTTGATGGTAAGCCGCAAGTTGAATTTTCAAGTTTTGAAGACTAACAATATACCTATTTTATCAATTCTAGGGCTTCAAAGATTAAGTTGTTTTATTGAAGTTATTTAGCTCGCAACTATATGGTATCACCGCCCGTTAGTCGTTTTGTGAGGATTTGTTGATATATCGACTAAAGAATATTAAAGGAATTCGATCCTGCGATTAACCCCTGGGCTAGTTGGTGGGAAAATTCGATTCGTTTTCTATCCCGATAAAATGGAAACAACAAACAAATTTGTACAAAATAGTCCTTTTTAAGTCGAAGAAGAAAGAAAACAAGAAAGCAATGAGCTACGATTCTTGAAAAGGTTCTAAAGGATTCCCATTTTTAAATGTTCTTACCTTTGAATTTCCTTTATTTGATTTCGACCAATTCCACTAAACGAATGAAGTTAACGTTAGCATAGATATAAAATAAAGTTCGCAAATGTAATAAGTGAATTCTAATAAGGGTACTTTTCGAAGCAGAAAATGTTTTCTATTGTTTATATACCCGATTATAAAGTGGTCTTTTTTCAAGAGTTCCAAATGATGAATGTTCCACGGATACGACCAATAAACGATAACGATTATTTAAAAATGAACAACAATCAGTTCAAAAGGCAAAAACGAATAAGATGCAAATTTGTGTAAGACCATCAAAAATAAGGGAAAGACAATAGCGCAAGCTATAACTGAAGCAATCAGCAATTTTTAACGTTGTTCTTAATGTAGCGCGGTATGTAATCCGTTTTTTAAAGACAGAATTAGCAAGCCATTAAAAAACATTTGAGCATTTGTAGTGGCGTCACCAATTGTGCATTATGTTTTATCATCTCAGCAATAAAATATGAAAATTGCAGCTACCAATTGCTTTGCCATTTCGTTCTCAAATAAAAAGCCATCTTGTTTTTCCCGGTATGGAAAAAACGCTACCGCAGTTTTTGATAGCTAAGTGGTTGTTGGCGAGAACTTCATTAACTAAAACGGCAATTTTTATATCAAGTAAGTATTACCATATAAGTCAATTTTGACGTTCGTAAGCCTCTATTGTTGAAAACAGATCCAATTTAGTTATCTCTCCTTTCAATAACTAATTTTTTCCCGCTCTTTTTGGGATAAAATGCTGATGGAAAAAGGAGAATAAACCCAGCTAAGAAACTGAAATCTATGTACCAATCATCGAAAGTGCAAACTGACGGCCGCTCTTTAGTCGTAAAAAATAACGGCCGCTATTTTTAATAAACCTAGCTGTCGTTTCTAAATATTATTGCAAGACAAAGTCTGAGATTTGGATTTTGGGGGCAGTATTTTTATGAATTACGGGCGAGGCTGGAAAAGACCCGTCTAAAGGACGTAAGGGGTAGTTTGAATTACAAAAGGGAAGTTAACGTAACCATATACGACGTAGAGTCTACTATTGCTGAGCGCGTGTTTCTTCCAGTCTTCACCCGCTATGCCTGCAATTTAATCAAACCGCGGAACGAAACACACACACGCCAACCGGGAGGGTTGTTCTTATGAAATGCTCGCTTTTCCCCATATAAGCTTTCACGCTTTGTTATTACATACAGGCGAGCAAAGAACAAATGAAGCAAATTCTTCAGCGCTTGTTCTTCAGCAAAAAAAGTGTAGGGTATTTTTACCCATTCACCACAACACTTTTCCCATTGCCTTAATTTGGAAACATTTGTTGGTTGCTGCGAAAAAATGGTTTGAAAATATACGAAAGAGCGTGATAATTTTTTTATTCCTGACTACGGAAGTTTTCTGAGAGGAGGGGCAAAAAATTATTTACGTTGAAAACACGCGCAGTATTCACACTACGCCATATACTCAATGTTACAGCATATATAGCCTTGTTGGTGTGCATATAGCAGCACTGTACGCGTCTCAGAAAGGAAATTGGGAAATGAAAAAAAATGGCGATAAGAGGTGAAAAAAGACATGCAGTCCCGTTAGAATATGCCTTGAAAAAAGGAACAGAAACAGAAAAATAGAGGGAGAAAATGGAAAGGGGGAAAAGTGTAAGCAACTCACACTGCTTCATTACCCATCTTAACATTAATGAGGGGTAAAGTAACGCTTGTTAGCAGCTAAGATTCGCTGATTTTGCTGAGTTTTTCAATGATTGTGCTCTTAGTAATATATGTTTTTCACCAGACTGATACTATTCCTGCATCTTCATTAAATGTAGAGTGTAAAGTGTAAGAGGACAAAATTGGCAACTAATTGAGTTATAAACTATTATAGAAAGATATTGAAATAGAATACAAACTGGATTAGCTATTGAACTATAAAAAAACTAACTAATCAAAAGTTTTATTATGAATTCATGGCCTTCTATATAATATAAAAACATATTCGTACCGGTAAAAATTGAGGGACCGTAACTTAAGCATAAAGATAAAAGAGGACTGCTCGTATATCAGGGCAAAGCTCTGCATGTTCCGAGTGCACTTAAAGCCAACTTAAAGTTTTTTGTTGAGTAAATGACAAAGCAGTTGGAAAAAAAGAGAAAAATTTACTTTCTTCATTTTATCCCTCCATACTCAATGTCAAGTAATGAGGGTGTGTTAAGCGTCTCGTATTATGTTAATAGATTTATATTGCTGGCCTCAATTCAATGTAAAACGCATTAATCCGCCGCTTACGCGTGTTACCACAACGTAATATATCGCGCGTTAATTGTTATAAATTAGCCAAGTTAGCAATTTTCAAACCACCGTAATTTTACGAAAAATGATCTGAGGTAAAATATCTTTTTTATATTTGAACTCAAGGCTACAATATCTTTCAGATGGTATTAAAATATTCTGTCAAAAACGCTTAGTTAAGAAGTCGAAAATTGACCGAATGAAAAAAAAACACCGAGCATAGATATTCCGCACTTTCTTCAAAAGTCGGAACAAATATCATTGAAATGAGTTTTAATGAAAAAATCACCTACATTTTAACTAAGCAGATTTACCGCTACTATTACTAACAAAAAAAAGTCCAGCTGTCTGTCTTAATGCTATATATAGGAAATATGGTTGTAAATGAGCTCAGCAAAGGAATTGTTTTGGCTTTTAATCGGTTTTTTGTTGTAAAATAGTAGTAAAATGAATAAGTGGTCATGCATCAGCCACTAAATGAACAAAGCAAAAAGTTCTTGCAGATTTATTTTTCCAGAATAGCTACAAAAACACGTTATATCGTTTAAAGGAAGCTAGCAAAAATTTATGTTGTTTTATCTATATGCTATTTTTACAGTCCCAAAATATTGCTGTTAAATTCCGAAACAGAGCGCATAATCGTACACAAATTCTTACAAAATTTTTAAAATGAATTGTTATACCCATTAATCTATATCAAAAATTGATTTAAGACGGTTATTACAGTTTACTACTGTAAAAAGCAAGGAGCAGAAAGCAAGTAAATTTTTGGTCAGAAAAAGTACTTTACTTTTTTTTTCAGTGGCCGAAAAAGGAAAATAAAGAAAGAACAGAAACCTTCAATTTTTTTCGTCTGCTTGATCAGACACAAGCTATCTGCATTTCAAATGGATGAATTTAGCGTCCTTATCTTAGCAACAAGACTTAAGACGGTTCTAATTTCATTACAAGACAATTTAATATGCCGCTTACCAGTGATACAATACAATGTGTTACAATACATCGGGTTAAATGATCTCAAATTGGCCAAATTAGCAAATACTGAAAACCCTATATTTTCTATTAACGATTGTAAGCAAATGTAAACTGCTTTTTGAACTCTGGGCATCAATCTTTTTCGAAGTGCCAGCTTGAATTGACACTGAAACCTATTCAGCTCATTAAAAGCGCCGCGTGCGAACTTTCCACTTGTTAGGGCATCATCGTTGTTATCACATTTCATGAAAAAAGTTACCTCTTAACAACCTTTAGACACTTTGAAGCCAAATGTAAAAATTTATCAGAAGTGGTAGCAAGTTGAGAAGTACAGCTAAAAAAATCAAAAATCAAATTAGATATAGAAAAAATCAGATAATTTCCATGATTAATTCCGGATGAACCATTAATTCTATTATTTAATTGTAGCAAAAAATAGTCAAATTGTTTTCTTATGAATACTGAATAGTCAATGTATACTGAATACTGCTACCACAGATGGTACTAAGGGACTTCGAGTTGAAACAGTACAAAAAATTGAGTCTAACGTTTAAAAAGTATCAAACTAGTTCAACTTTTTGTCGCCATCTGATTTGGTTTTTCTAGGGAAAGAAAAAGAATGTGTTTGTAATACCCAGACATTAGGGTCAGCGTCGTGAAGGCAAATGCCTGTGGCTGATCTTAGGTAGAGTTGCTAGTTTCATTTGATCATATTTGTTTGTAAATAATTTGATGCTAAATTTGTTATGAGGCTTGTGATTTTGCTGGAATTAAATTTGTTCAACTTTTTTAAGTATACGACCCACAGATAAAAGCAAAAAACTATCCGAGAAATTTTCCAAAAAAAACTCAACAGTCAATGCATACTGAAAAGTCATGTATACGACGTAAATATGTATATACACATACTTAAAAGGTCAAAAAATTATTCCTGCTTTGAATTGAGACATGTGCCTTGAACAGCGTGGCGAGGAACATTTTATTGATCGACTCCAAAGCTCAGATCTTTCGATTTCCTCAGAAATCAAAAAGTACTTCATCATACATAACGATCAAGCAAACTAAGAAGTTTTAGTGAAGAGTTACGGGATTTAGTTCGTATTTCTTCATGTTTTCTCCCTCCAAAAACGATTTGTTATAAAAAAGTAGCTGAAATTGTAAAATCTTGAACCTGATTTAATTTGCAGGCCACAATAACAAAAGATCAAAACGCCTCTTATGGCAAAATAAAAACTTAAGCAACTTTCATTCAATGTACTATTCTTTTTTATTGTAATTTCAAAGATACAATCAATAACTATTTGTGATACAACAAGGTTAAATTTTTTAACAGATGGTTTTAATTACTATAGCTATCTTAGCGTTTACTGTTTAGGAAAAATGATATTCAAGAAAAAAAATTTTGACTAACGAAAGCAAATAAATGTAATATCACTTGTTACGCTTAAATTTTCTAGATAAACTGACGAATTGAAACTAAGAACTACGAAATTGGCGGCCGACGAATTGAAACTAAGAACTCTTTTAGATACTCCACCGCTGCTCACGCATTTTTCTGTGGCGTGCTCGGGGCCGATCTAGGATTTTCGCGAGGGGGGCGGATTTTCTAAAGATTTCAAAAGTTTGGCTAAATTGATTTCACGAGTTCTCCCAAAGCACTAAGAGACCCAGTTTTGCCCAATTTTTCAGCCCCGCAGGCAAGATTTTGAAAAAAAACGGTCGAAAAGGCATTTTTAAGCACTTTTTGAAAAAGTTTGACCGCGTTTGCTCCCAAAACTAGTAATAATTAGCGCCGAAGGCGACTTTAAAATTTTTTATGGTCCATCAGCCAAAAATGTACATCTGAAATCAGTTCAAATGGGGACCTTTTGTGTCGGCAGGGAATCGAATCCCTAATGAGAAAGGCGGCCATCCACCCCCTCCCCCTAAATCCGCTAGTGGGTGTACTCATGATTGCAGATATAAGACATCCGAAGAGAGTTAACACGATCCCGTAAATCTACACGCTGTTGGAACTTCAAAAGAAAAAGGGAAGTCTCACTGTATCAAAGGCCTTAAAATAATCTATAATTCATCTTGTGAGGACATATTTTGTGTTTGGCGCCTGAAAAGTTTTTGAAATTTATTATGCCATCCAAAGTGGCCTGTTTGTCTTTGTCTAGTATCATCCAAAGAGATGTCCTATAACCCTAACCCTAACCCTAACCCTAACCCTTACCCTAACCCTAACCCTAATGTTCTTGCATATTCAATTTTTGGCGGCTGGGTAGATCCAAATCCCTTTTGTTATTTTGCTTCCAACACAGTTAAATTTGTTCTTTGAATTTTCTCAAAAATCTTGTTTAATGCATCATCAGTTTTCTTATCAATTTTTACTCTCCGTTTTTTTCTAGACTTTGCAAGCTTGGTTCTAATTTCACTTTCTCTACACTACTGTTTCTTATAAACCTATCGTGCTAAATGATCTCGACACAACAGTTACACTGCAACATTGCTATCATACCCAGCTCCCGTATACCGTTTACGGCGACATTTGATAGAGCTGTACATTCAGGCG